ATGACTTAAAAAGTTTACCGAACGTGTTGCATACTTTACTTTTTCTACGTTTTTGGGTACATTTTCGCAAAACAACACGAATATATTCACTGACATGACCGCCAGAATTGACAAACGTCAAAATTCAAGTTGTGTGAAATATCTACGAAAACATCCGATTGCTCCCAAACCCAACCAAACCCAAAGATTGGTGTGTAATTAGGTATTTTACAGACGGGAGTAGCAAAAATAATTAAAAATAAAGAGTCTTGTCAAATCAGTTGAAGAACTTTTCTTGATGTCAAAACTAATCTTGGAAAATGTGGGAATATTCTGCAACTAATTGGATATTTTTCTTTTAGTGATTAACAATCGGCAAACTCGCTTCTGAATTCACCGCGCACTTGTAGTCTTGCATTTTGTCCGAGCCAAGCAATTATGGCGCGTTTTTGTAGTTGGGATTGAAATTTACGGCATTATTATAAATACTACAGTGGCAAAACAAGTGAATTGTAAGTATAAGAATTGAATGTTGTTTTAATTGTAATAATATGGCTGCCCTAGAATTGTTTTTCATCATGTGGTCTTTTTATTATTATATAAAGTATTTAGATAGAAATTATTTAAAGCATTTTGGCCTTCATACAAAACAACTGCTCTTTTTGTTAAGGCTCTTGCTGCGCCAGGAGAACAAAATAAAATTAAATGGAATATTTCTGGTTCACTGCGACTGTTCTTTGAATATGGTATGTGGAACATTTATTTTGTCGCCATTTGGTAGTTTTCAAATAATTAGAATAAATAGCAGTAATAAGTATTACGCTTCAACAAGCTTTCAAAGGAAAAATCAGCATAGCTTCAAACTCCCGATGTTAATGCCAGTCGCATTTCAGATAGAGAAACTGAAAAAAATTGAACTCAAGTGAAGAGTTGTTAAATTAGTAGTCTCTAGTCATCTATTTAGAAAAAGAATGCGTGTCTGAAGTGAAGTAATTTCCAAAAGTACAAAAGAGACTGCATCAAATATGTTTTATTTTTCAATAATTTTATGGAAATCAATAATTCAAATTGCCGCTGTTGGTATATTATTCTATTTTTTTAAATTCCGGCAACAAGCCGAAAGTGCCATTTTACTGGACTAGCAAGCAAATTCCACGACTCGAAGCTAGCAAGTTCAGCAAAGTGCTTATGGGGAAAGTTAGATACGTACGTAGATGTATTTTATATTTACTATAGTATTTATGTATCTTTATTTTCTTTTTTTCTTTAGTCTCTGTGTGATTAACTTTCGATTTCTGACAATAAAACGAGAAAAATTATTTTCGGACGGATGATATTTAAGATTAAAAAAAGAAAACCTTAATCAATCAATTAAGATGAGGTTGCTATATCTCTTGCTTGTCATATCCCTGGTTAAATTATGATTTACTTTATGGCAAATTATTACAATTTTACAAAAAAATAGTGATCGATAATAAATTTTAGCAGATTTATATTTCCAATATTTTCCAATTTTAAAAACGCTCTATTTTGACGCTCTAATTGACGACTCTAGTTAACGTAAGACAGACGTCACTTAAATTACATTAATCTTTCATATATTTCAACTGAAAAAATAGAAATATTTGTCTTCGTTTATGTTTCTAACAGTTGATTACTTCTGTAATAATTCTACTTACTGCAGAGTGAATGAATAGCGATATTTAGATTTTTACCTGTATTCTAGTTCAATAAAAACTGAAACATAGTTACCAAAATGTCTGATTTCTCTTGACTAACTTTTAAATGAAGAGTAAGTTTTGCCGTATTTCAACAAGAAAATACTACTTTTGTTCAAACACTTTTCATTCAGTATTTTAAAAGGATTAAAATAACCCCTAATGTATTGCTTTCCCAATCTCCTTTTTCTAAAAGTTCTTATGTGATTGATACAAATTAACTAAAATTCATATTAATTGATTTGGCTCAGTATTACATGCAACACATTTTATAATGCAACAAAAATGTCCACATAAAAATTTGCAATTGTTTAACACAACGCTAAACACTTCCTACTCAAATAAAACAGAACTACCAATATTGCTCTTCAATAACCACGAAGCTGCGAAGTTAACAATAATATTAGGAATATCTTGTTCACTTAACAATTCACATTGTAAAAAATAGAAAACCAGATTACCAAAAAATGTTTCAGTTAATCATATTCATAATGGTTAACTCGAAACAGGTAACATAATAGATGAAGCAGCATACAGAGGGCGCTTTTAAGCTAACTCTTAAAAAAAACAAACACTCCTGCCCCATATTTAACAACCAAGAAACACTCACAGTCCTTATACAAGCTATATGTATGCCGATAATAAAAACGATCGCATTATCAATATTTAAAACATTTTTTGTAATTAAGTAAGGGTAAGTAATTCAAAAACTCTTCTTCTTGTTTTAGTACTATTTAACTTAACTTAAGCTTTTTAGGCAAATAAATCTGATTAGAATTGAACGTATTGTACGAGGAGGTGAAGGTTGGTTAATGATTTAACCTGCTGTTTTGGTTAGTTTTTAGTAGTTTAAACCCGTTACTTTACGATTTGAGTAGAGTGTGAATTGACATGTTTTGTGAATCGTGTTGAATCACTTCAATTTTAAACTGTATATCAACCTCATTCATGGTTAATCTTAGATGCTCTTTTACGTGGTTTACCTGATTTTGTGATCCAAATGGCCACTGACTTATTGGCCTTAAGCTTTAGGTTATGAGCTTAAGACATATCGATTAGAGAATTACGTCCTCGTTAATCTTTTGGATATACAAAGAAAGTATCGACTGACAAAGTTTTAACTAACGATGAACAAACATCATTCGAAATTATGTACTAACGATAAGCAATTACATACATGCATTATTATGTTGAATGTTCGGTTTTTTTCTGCAAATTATAAATAATTTATCTCTCCGTTAATGTTTCTAGCACTTGACTTTCGGCTGTTGGACATAAATCTAATCAAAAACATTGTATAGACACAAGAAACATAGTAACTACAATTTAAGAAATAAAAAATTAAAAGTGAAACCTTATAATTAAAACAACTGTGCGAAATTGAATTAGAGAAGGCAAAGAAATGAACAGGCTTTTAAGCTTCAAATTTATATTGCTTTTTCTCTTTGCTAAATGTATTTTTAATTGCTAATTGCTTACTGTTTATTTTAGATGCTTATGCTTTCTTGAATGAGCTTGGCGAATTATTAAAATTAATTAATAAATGAAATAAAGACATGTTAACGTTTCTTAATAATCATCTAATCCCGAGGAAAAGAATCCCCGAAGATATATAGCTTGGCAGGGAAAAAAGAGCTAAAGAGTCGAAAGCCGTTGCATGCAATTAGACCTATACGCTGCAAGAAAATAAAGAAATTGAAGCATGTGAAAGTATTTTAACATTCTGAGCGCATTGCGAGTCGGTTTCTTAATATTTTTCTTTCGTCGTCGCACGTAATCGCTTTTTTTTTATACTTAATATTTTGTGCTTTGTTGTTAGCGATAGTTCGCCGGTATACGATTTCTTTCATAATTTAACAAATTATTATCATCATGATTCGGAAGCGGACGTTTTCGAGAAATGTAAATACACGCATGAAGTTTTTTCAGTATTAAAAAAAATATAAAATAATGCAGCAGTTTTAGATTTTTTTTTAATACATAATTTTCCTGCATCCATATTCAAACTAAAAAAAAAGTGGTTTTAATAATAAATATCGCTGTAGAATAGCTTGCAAAATATCCTAGAAGCTGCCAAGATCGCAATTGCTGCATGCCAAACCGCAAGAAAGAGTAATAGTTGATTTGAAAAATGAATACATTTTGTTGACTTAGTCAATTTAATTCAAATATAACAACGTGCTTAAAATATTTAACGCATTAAAGTGAAGTTGGACAGGAAAAAAGCAAAAATTTTTTATGTTACTTTCAGAAAAAATATTGGTTTTATCTGCTATGTCGCAGTACCAATATCTTTAAAATGACGTGAAACTCGAAGATGTCTTGTAGTTTCCTAATATTTGATAGAGTTGATAAATTAATAATCAATTAATATTAACTTGGCGTTTATATTAAGCAAAAATTGTCACATATTTTTTGCTTTGCTTTGGTTGATGTGGCACTTGTTTTTTTTTTGCCGAAATTGTTCAAATTTATGTTAATATTGCGTCACGCTTATTGTGAGAACAGGGATTTATATTGTTACGAATTTTGAAATCAACGAAAGGCAAAAAGAATAAAATATTTTATTTTATTAATAATTTATTGGTAAGCAATGTTTTCTTTATTTATGAAATAATATGAAGTAGTATAGATCGATAATTTCAAGCAGTGAACAGCAAAGTGCTGAAAGTGAATGTAGTTGTGAGCTTTTCCACGTCGAATGATGAATAAATATAATTTTAAAAAATAACTTAAAACAAAGCCGAAAAAAAGAAAGTTATTTAGAACTACTTCGTAGGCTGCTAGAAGCTTTTCACATTCTTTGATTGATATTTTTTTTCAATGCAGTAAAATATTTTCCACTTAAAATGAAGGTTTGCATTTAAGGTGGATCCACTTTATTATTGCATTTTGTGGTTGTCGTCAAATGAATTACACAAAATTAAGACCTTTATGACGACAGATATTTGTGCCAAATTTTGTCTAATCCCACTAAAAAGTTTTTTGGTAATTAATAAAAAAATATCTAAAAACCATGACACAATCTTCAAAATAAACCAAGTTAAGATGCATGTTTCCTACTTATTTTTGGCTTATAATTGCATTGAAATTGGAAACGCCTTCTATTATAAAATATGTGCGAGGAGTAAGATGGACCAACAACACTCCAACCCCCATAAGTCGGCAAATACAATGAAGAGGGATTATAATTTTGTCAGAGCTACAATACGCTATCTAAATCTAACTGATAAATTTTTTTTAACACTATTGAGTGACTGAACCGCGTTATCAATAATTGAATACGCACAAAAAAAGAAATACCTTATCAAATTCCCTGACACAACAAACAAAAAAATCCAATCACTGTAGACTTGCGGAAGCACTGCGACACTCTGTCAAGCCGAACAGTAACTATTTAATCAGAAACAACCACTCGATGCTGTTAAACGAAAAGTACTCAGTCTTATCACTTTCAATTACTTAATTATCATTATCAAACTGCGGCGCGAGCCAATTTTCCCGGGGAGACATCAACTGCGGACTAGCACACGAACCCGGAGACTGCGACGGGACATCAGGCAGCGAACTCCTGTCTTATTTAAAATAATCGAAAACTAGCGGGCTTTTCTTCTTCTTCGACAACGGCCGCGAAGATCGGAACCAGAACAGGATACGTGCCGCCGACTTGTCAGAGCCGACTGTGACGGTACAGTGAGCGAGTGCCTATGTGTTATGGTTCATGAATCGCGTTCCGTACACCTGTTAAACGCCGGCGGTGGGGGATTAATTCCTAGGAGTTTTCTAACCCCTCCAACAGGTTGATTTGGCGGCGTTTTGAAGAATACGCGAGAAATAAGAGAACGAGAAGGGGTGACTTGGTGACCACGCTTCGAACCGCTAGAAACGACGAACTCTATGTTTTATCCCAAATTCGATAGAGGTTCACACTTAATTAAGGACGTTATATAAGTTATTACTAAGTAGATTAATTGTCACTCATTTATTTATCCGTCGGATCAATTACGTTTATATTACTGCAAAATATATTGCACAAGGTGGTATAGAAATAACCTCACTTTGAGCACTCAATAAATTGATAGTGGTGCAGTTTGACACAAAATACAGGACGGTAGGTAGCTTTTCATTTTTCAGTTTAGAAAGAATAAATCTAGCGTTCAACGACGTTGACCAAAGTTATACAATACAAAGTATCTGCCTCATTGCTCGAAACTTAAAACGTTCTTAAATGTCACGACGCTATCGTGGTTTTCGAAATAAAACAACCCCTGTATATTTTTGTGTCTCTGTCCACATCTTTTAATTCTGAATTTAAAAATATAAGATTGGGCCAGTTTTAGTAAATCGTTTTGAATATACTGGAGATTTGCTTCTTAAATGCATTAAGGTGCACAAAATCTTATAATTTCCGATTCAGAGTGGAAAGATCTCTACCCAGACATTTGACATTTATTTGGACTGGTTCGGTAGCCTCGTGCAAAATTTCAGGAAAATGTGTCTTAAAATTTGAAAATATCAAATTTGAAAGCAAATTCGCGGTCGTCTAGGGTACCACACGATAACTCGGAAACTGTAGACTAAAAAGGTTTGTGTACACTCGAATGAATTTTACCAAAACTTTTGAAAATATCTTTCAAACAAGTAACCCGAAAATAGAAGGAGCTTCCTAATTTGGGATACGTTGCACATTCGATTTTTTAAGTTTCTATCAAACTACGAATTCATTCCGAGGCATGTGTTATTTGCCTTTCTTAATTCGATTTAAGTTCAGAAAAAAATTAAATAAAAATTATGTTCTTTTGTATATCTTCTGATTTTGTGTTTTAAAGTTTCTAAGGTAACACTTCAGCTGCTGATTTGATTAAACAATAATTTTCTTGCTTTACAATGAATATTACTGCTATCGTTGACTGACGACCACCTTTTTACCTAACTCGACGTTGGATTTCGTTGCCACTTGAATTTCTTTTATATAAATAAGTTTTAGCGGACGTTATAGAACACACAATATCTGACTGCAACTCAGTTGTCGTCGCCGAGACGCTAGGTTGGTGACAAATTATTTTACTCCATACTTTTACCAAAAATATGTTACATGCTCCCTTAGTTATCGTATAACTTTCTGATAGTGATGTCGCTTTAATCTTGGTTGAATTTACTTATTTTCATGAGTATCCTATGTGCGTTGTAGGGTGTATTGCGTTATATCACCGATATTAAAAAACAAACGATTCATTCACAACTCGGTGGCGTTATGGTCCTACTGGAAAGGCTCATGACCGAAGATTTGTATGCATTTCCAAATTGTCATTGTACTTGAAATTTTGAGTTTAGAGGAAAAAATAGACAATGGAGAAGGTGTGGGACAAAGTTTTACTTGGAATTACTTTGAAGGCAAAACGCAAAGATGTTCTTTGCATTATCGATTTCTGCAGTAAATCCTGTTAAAATCGCATGCAACGAAACACTTCCGCGTCATAGCCTAAGTAAAATGATAACTTTTCTATCCAAAAACTGTTGCACTGAACAACTCGGATGAACAAGTTCCTCTAACCTTAAGACGCTCCATCTCAAAGAGTTGGAATGATAAAAGTCACATGTGTACATGTTTTTCGTTGCACACTCTCCAAGCTAGCCAAGAATTTCGGCAATTGAACTAAACAACTAATCTAAAGTTTTAATCGCGACCGTGATTTTCCGTTTATAAATGTTAGATTACAGTGTTACAGTATTATCCGCTTAGCTTTTGCTAAAGAATGAGATTTTCCAGCTAGCTAGAATTATTCAGTTACAGACGTATCTTAGAAAAAATAATAATAATAGAAAGATTCAAACGGCGCTGCAACAATCTCTAGAAAAACTATGTACTATATTGATGTATCTGAGTTACGCGTTTGACTTTGGTGATATTTTCATTGCAAGGTTTAACCAAGATGCAAACCTAGTCCTGCTAGTCGTTAACATTGGTTAGTTAAATCCAACATGCATTTGAGAGATGTATAACAACGAGTTATCGAGAAAGAGAGAGAGTACCGACCGCGTATCAAATCGTCCATACATATGACGTCGTCCAAAAATCACCCAATAGTCGACACTAATTTGGTAAAACGAGGCGGTTGACCCTGGCGGCGCAAGAGTCGCCGAAATGTTCTCGAGCGGTGGTACCCGGGAGGTGTGTAAAAGTGCGCGTCCAATCCCGTCGCTCGACGCCGAGCAAAGGCGTGACATATCGTATTAGTCATAACTCGTTCAAATTTATTCATATATTTGAATGCAATGATTTGTTTGACGGTACCGGGGACGGATGCTACTCAGTCGTCGTTGGTTGACAAACCGCGCGAGGACTGACTATCGCCCATTCTATATGTATTTCGGTGTCGGTTAAGGACACATCTACAAATGCTTCATGTTAAATGGGATATAACAATACGGCAATGGGTTTAGGCATATTTTTGTAAATGCGCAGACAAAAATATTTTTCCATTATGGCTTGAAATTATTTTTCTTAAACCCGTCTAGTCTTGCCTGGAAAGATCTCATATTCGTAGTTTTTCCTAATTAGTAAATCGTCTTTAACAAATAACTTTTTAGTTTATTGGTAACGAAATCTACCGAATTTTTTTTTTTAGTACCTCAAAAGTCATTTGTGGGTATGGTTGATGATATCCTTCATTATGAAACATTTAAATTCGCATGATTTAAGTTTTGAATACATCCATGCAGCAAATCTTTTAGGTAAAAACTTTTCTAGTTTCTTAAATTGTTTAATTACTTTGAGGAAATTTAAAGCTTTATATCCATTAAACTTTAGGCTGATAAAAACTTGCACAGTCGTGCAAAGCTTTATAAATATTAGGATTTTAGGTCGAAGTTAATATATATATATATATATATATATATATATATATATATATATATATATATATATATATATATATATATATATATATATATATATATATATATATATATATATATATATATATATATACAATATCGTTTTATTTTAGGATAAATTAAGTGAAATATTTATGTTAAAGTTTTTTTACTATTTCATTGGACTGAATTAGATGCGTTAACAAAAAGGCTAACCCAACAACGCCGAAGATCTGAGGCAATTGTGGAGCAAATTATTTTACAAGATAACCGTAGTAACAGTGTAAATGTCCTAGAAGGATATCTTTATTATTCTAGAACATTTTTCGGTTTTTGTGTTAGAATTAAATCAATTTTGAGCTGAATACACACAGTTCGTCTTCTATAATAGTATCTTCATAAAAAAAAAACATTACTGAATACAAAACACCCATTAAGGAAATCAAATATTTGCAATTGCCGAAGGCGAAAAAGTTGTATTTGTAATTGCCAATATTCTGCTTGAGCCTAGTAGAGTTCAGACCATATATGCAATATTATTTTTAATAACTGAAAAATCAGCCATATAACGAGAAGATTTTAAATCGACGTTTTTTCTTAATCGGGATAGTATTTACTTAAAATAATTTTAGATTTCTAAATCAGTGTAAATATTTTTCAAAAATGAGTTCAGTACAACTACACCACATCATGTAGGTATATTCAGAAAGATCATACCCCTTTGAGTCAAGATGGCGATTTTAATACCAGAACAACCTATTAATATTTTAATATTATCGTAGTATGGCCAATTTAGATAGTTAAACACTCTCCATAATCCTCAATGTGACGTGATGATAGATTATGTGTAAATTGAAATGAGCAAATTAAGAAGATTTTTACTAATATTTCCCTACATAAAGAAGCGAATAAACAAAATGTTACGTATTTAACAAACTTACAAATCTAAGATGACTTAATAATTATGAATAATACATAGGGATTGAATAAAAAAGAGTGCCGGTTTAGTGAGCCTTTTACTTTTTAATTTACTTTACTCTATAGCATAACACCCTATGTGGGTTTTAACCGACTTGATACCACGCATCTCTTTCTGTCTCTCATAACCTCCTCCAGTGATCAATGCCTATGTATTCAGATATTTCCCCACCTAAGTCGGGGTTGTTTCAGGGTTTATTTCATGTTGGGTGCTTCTTTCGATAAGGGGCTTGATGTGCTGTCGTCGGACTTTATTTCCTTTGCTATATGAATGATTCCTAATAGGTCTTCGAGCCCTTTCTTGATTATTAACATATATTTTCAAGTCGCCTAATTTCATGCCGGTCCACGAATTTTTCGCAACTGTAATACTTCATGCCTCAAAGCGATACGTTATTTATTTTTCGTGTCCCTTGTTGTTTTTGGATATTGCTGTTCTGATTTCTTTTCGGAACTGCTAAAAGTGTCTCTCACTTTTATTCTCCTATTTACTACCAAACCTACATCTACATGCAAAGGCGAACAATAGTGTTGTATCTTCATGATGAAAGATTAAAGTTGGTGCTTCGAATGACGGTTTATTTCCGTCCAGCAGTGCATCTTTTTTTTCGGATCTATCTGAGTAAATAAAATTCTAAATAGGTAGGTTAGTTATAGTCAATTTTCGTTTGTGTAATGTGTGTTGGTCAGCTATCTATGACTTTAAATATGGCTGTAATAAAGATGTAATTGGAACTATATTTAAAAAAAAAAAAGGAAAATAGTTAATTTCTCGAAATCCGCCTAAGAAAGGTAAAGGAAACTTTTAAAAAAGCTAATGCAACTTTTTAGTCCTCGC